GGATCCCCCCCTCCCCTCAGTTGGAGGAGAGAGCGGGTCACCCTGAAGAGGGCGGCCGGGCGATTATCTGATGACGCGATGAGCGAGGAATAGTAGTTAGCCCTAGCCACCCTCATCGCCACTAGGTAGGATCTAACATGTATCCTAACCCGTGTTCGGTCAGGTTCGGTTCGGTTGGCCCTCCAACATCTCTCTAGGCATCTTTTCCGACGTTTCATCTCTCTCAGCTCCCCGGTAAACCAGGGAGCCAATCGAGATCTACGTCGGGTCAGAGGCCGCAAAGGCACGACTCGGTCCAATGCTGCGGCGGCAGTTGTCTCCCAAGCAGTTGTCTCCCAGTAAGCTGAAACACTCTTTTCAGATCCTATTTTACGTACCATTACTGGGCACTGATGTGGGGATTCATAGAACTGTTTGGGCCATGCTAAGGTATGCAGTCCCATGGTCTTTATATAAGTAGAAATATTGCTTCCAGATCCAATAATGCAGTAAGAGTCCATTCTGTGACCCCTTGTGCAAGAACTGATTGTTTTTGTTAAGCAAAGAACCATTTAATTTTAACCATGCTTATGTTATATATCCTCTTTCTGCTGAAAAATTGTCCAAACTAATGTATTACTATAAAAACCTCAGTTGTGACTATTGCTGAGACTAAAACCTGCTCTTTTACTTACTGCCTGATGAATAAATGTGCTATGAGAGAATAAAGGTAGCAGTTGGATATTGTGGGAAGACAGGACAGTGGTTCCAAAATTGTACTAGATACATAGGGCCAAAATGATGATCAGCACTGGCAGTCGTGGGACAATCATGGTGGGCAGGTCTGTGAGGATTCAGCATCAATGCTGGGGCTCTTTTCAGGAGAACACACTATAGACTAGGATCAATAATTGATTCTTCAATCTGCTCCTTTTTCCTCAGGAACTGTTGGAGACTGGAAGAATATTATGACAGTATCACAAAATGAATGGTTTGACAAAATGCTTCAGGCACAAATGAAGGATATACCACTCAAATTCATCTGGGATCTAAAGGACATACAATCTACTCAGAATGGGTAGCTGCAGGAAACTCTCCAGGAGGAAGCAGAGCAGAAATGTTCAACACAGCCATAATACGTATATGTAGTTTAAGCTGTTACAGTACACCTATGGTCACGCCATCTTTTTCAAAATGTTGAAAACATCCTATAATTTATCACCACAAATGGGTCAAGATAGACCAGAATGATTTCATAAATGTTTTCCAATATAAATGATCAGGTCCAACAATGTGTGCTGCCATTCTGTTGGAGGGGGAGGAAGGTCGGCATTTTGGGGATTCTTTCGCTTTTGCTGCATGCTTAGGAAATAGAGAGGCGGAGACTCGGCACACTCTCTCCCAGCTGGTTCCAGGCAGGTTCGAAGGCCGTCATGCCCTGAGAGTGGTCTGTTATTTGCCTTGCACCTCAGTGTTATCAAACCATCTTCTTGGTTGCCAGTGGACTGGTCAGGGTGTCTGGGATTGGGGAAAATGAAAGAATTGCTTTGTGCTTTGTGTGGGACTTTCAGAATCTGTGTGACTCTACTGCAACCACTTTCTCTCAGTAAAAGTTCTTTTGTTTCAACTCAATGGATTCAAGAGTCTTATTTCTTGAGGGACTAGCTGGGCCAGGTTCTTATATTAAGTGGAATCTGCAAAATCGGTCAACCCGGAGAGGCGTAGAGCCCTACTGTGGATACCGGACACAAGATGTCAGCTCAAGGCAGCAACTAGGAGGAAGCTGTGTGCTGGGGGGAATCCAGGGCTCCTGCCAGGACTGACCTCTCCGAGTGGAGGTTGGGAGCCTGGGTGACTCATTGAGACCCAAGTGGTCCATAGGCATCAGAAAGAAGGTTGACTAAGAAGGAAG